TGTGGGGGTGGAAATCGGTCAAGAACTGCAATTTGCAAAACTGGCGGGAACAGCTGTACAAGGGATAAAGGGAAAATCGTAGTAGGAGAGAACCAAACTGCGAGCTGCAATCTTCAACCCTGCACGACAGGCAAGTAGAATCTTGTGAAAGAAACTTCCTACTTATGTTAAGTTTGGAAAAGTGAATCATGGAATTGATAGATATACACTCGGTCAAGCCAGGAGGAACCTGCGACTTCTATTCTTCTAAATAACTATTCTTATATATTTTTATTATCCTGGGAATGGAAGTCTAAACCATTCTGGCAACTAATACACCATTTTCGAATTCTAAGCGACTAACGGTTGTTTTATATTAACAGCAGATTCTCTTGCGCAAATACCTTACAAACACAAAAAAGAAAGCACGAGAAATTTCTYTTAATGTTGGTTATCAAATTCATTAATAATTCATAAGGTAAACACAATGGAAAATCATTGCCGTGACCGCATCTTTATATGAGCAAGAGATTTGTCCTGATTTGCATACGACTTTAACTTCGATTCTCTCTTACAAAAGATATTTTATCCTGACGTTTTTTTAGAAATATGCTTTACCTTATGTTGGAATTTGATAAGCAATATAAGCAGTTTGCAGCTCGCAGTTATAAATGCCCATTAAGGTCTCCCGCTCACATTTTATATATTACCAGTAGAATAGCGCTAACAATTTACGTTTTCCCCGAGTTGAGATTATCCGTGTATTCCCAGAAGGCTCATACCATAGATCTAATGGGAATACAGAGCAAGTCTCAACTCAGGGAACATGSAAATTTTCAAGGCTATTGTAAAAACGAAATTTTCTCGTGCTCTCTTTTGTGATTGGTCAGGTCTTTGCGCAAGAGAATCTGTTGTAAAATAAAGCAACGTTTTTTGCTATGAATTCGAAACTGGAATGTTCCAGATCTTTCATTGTAACTTCTAACTTAGACAAAACACCCCTTTTCATGCCACTAAAAGAATTAAACACTTGCCGTAGACCTTTACAGACGTCTAGATCCTTCCCCTCTGAAATGTTTATTTAGTTAGGATAATTTGAGTTCCTTGGAAAAAATTATAATTTCTGAATGCCCTATAATGTTGCTTTTTACCTTCTAGCTCGGATTTAAGAATAGATATATTTCTTCCAGGGGCTCATTGTCCCCTCCTCCCTAGTGCTGTATAATTAAGCACTATTTGAGTTTTACTATATTTTTAGTGTTTTTTATTAGTTTTTATATTTTTTTATTTATTTTTAACAAGGCGTGCCGTCAAGTCCCCCGCCAAGGACCATGCCAATAACTAATGCAACCGAAGAGAGAAATACCACAGGCAAAGCAACAGGAGGAGTGTCTACAAGAGCTACGCCGCCAGCAAAGCCTACTGGGAAAATTAATACAACAGAACAACAAAACACTACAACCACACCTGAAAAAACGACAAATCCATCTACAATAACTAAAAACACCACAGCAAAACCAACGAAAAACACACACAAAGAGACTTCGGGAGTCACGACTCATGCTGCTCACGAATCACACAATCACGGGGGAGGTGAGGGGACCAGTTTTGAAGGACAAATGAAAATGGA